AAACCTCCTCTCTCCCTTCCCCCCTCTCTCTGATTGCTTCTTAATTAGCCGCTTGTTACTACCCCAACCCCCTCCCCTATCCCCTGGACTAATTTGCTTGTAACTTTGAACACAAATTTAACCTTTTACACTTTACCCCCCCTCCCATATAAAGGTAATTGCCTGAGGAGAATTTATTGAAAATATTGATTTAGTTTCTTTCGCTTGATAATTTCGTGATCACAATACTAGACGGTGAATGCGGGGACTTTCCGATTTAATCATGACGGTCTCGATATCGCCACGAAAAAGGCAACGCTGCAACCATTTTTTGGCGCAACAATGGCTCTGCTATAAACAAGTAAACTTACCGGCGCCATCGGGCGGTAGTACCGGTCTGTAGTAGATTGATCTAGTGGCATTGGCGACTAGCGGACTTCCTGTGGGTGGGGTGACGATCACTTGGCAAGTGTATTCGCCGGTGGTGTAGTCGTTCAGTTCGGGAATGCGTAGCCTTTGGTCGTCTGAATGATGGCGCCCCTTGAAGTACCAGGTAAATCGAATTGGATAAGGCGGCCGTGGTTGAATGCGACATTCTGCATAGTAGGGTGCTCGTGGGCTTGGCTGCTGTGTGAGTGACTCGATACTCACCACATATGTTTGTTGATCTACTGCGTAAAAAAAGAGAGATTTGGCTGATAGGTACGCCTGTTATTTGTCTAAACGGGCTGCGATTTTGACCTTTCAAAGTCTTTTTATGCTGCGCATAGGTGCTGAAACGCGTAAGGTATTTGCGGACACTTTTCAAATTGCCTATAAATGGATTGGATTATTTCGCAAAAACTACTTGTCACTGGATAGAATAGCAGTTGGCGTATCGGTTGCTTTTGTCGACAGATCGCACTAAGAAATCTCCAAGTCAAGGCTATTCGCCTTTTCGCTGATATTCGTTTGTGCCCATAATGCACATTCCCGCGGAAAGGAAGGCGCACAAAGTCATGCGCTAGCTTTTGATAATTCCGCTAGGGCTTTTATTATTTCAATTGGGAATGACTATAATATGTCCTTTCTGTTTCTTATTTATAAACCTCAGAATGGAGGCTCATACGACTGAAGATTGCAGCGTTTCACATAATCTTACCGACTTTTCTGAAACAGAAGATGCCAGTCTCAAAAATGAATGCCTGCGTAAACCTATCGGAAAAAACTTTTAGTTGCAGAAGCATAACCGCTTACTTGCTGAAAGTAATGGTTCACATATTCACATACGCGTGCAGACTGAGCTTATAGGTCTTCATTGCGAATGATTTACTCCAATTTAGTCTACTAATTTTTGAGAAGATTAAACAGCTGAAATTTAAATACTAGACAATCTACGAGAAAATGCAGAAGGAAGACTGGAGAACAGATTAATGAGCCGAAGGCCCCGCGGCTGGGCCATGCAATGGACAAATATCGGAAAAACACGCATCACGGATTTTCACTCAGTTCTGTCACCCCAGGTGCATTTACAAATGCTTCGTTATGTTCCCATCTTCTTTGTTGCACACTTTACATAACGCTGGATCATAAATTGGGAACTGCAGGCCCACACGCCCTCCTCCATCACATGGTTGTTGGAAATCGACATTGCTTTGGATCAACTAATTTTGCAGGCGGAGCCATAGTTGGCTCCTAATAAGAGCGAGTTCAAGAAAACAGTTGGAATGAAGATGATGTGATACTAAACCAAATATTTTGTTGGTTTGATCCTTCTGCTTCTCGCTCGAACTCATCATCGAAGACAGCTAACAGCGAACTTTTATGCATGCATGAGGGGAACAGTACTTATGGGATGCAGTGATAATGCAGCCATAAACCGCAGTTGTCGCCGGCGTACAGACTTTGTGCATCTTTCACTGCTACAATTTCAGCAGCATCATGTATTCTTGGCGTGATAAACAGTTGACAAGATGGCTTGATCTGAAAACGGTTTGAGGAAGACATTATGATCGTGAGAGTTTTTCCGTATTATCCGCGATCCGCTTGATTCCTTGCGCTCTGGTTTGCCTCTCATCGACAAAGCAATATAATCTCCCACCTCCTTGATATATATTGAGCCTCCTCGAGGATCGCTTGGATGAACACTGCTCTCCCTCTGGTGGTAACGGTAAGCCAAACAGGCGAGTAATAATCATGCAAGGTAATAACACTCCTTGTTAAATTCTGGCGATTAAAGACTGAGATGTAGGTAATCAATCAAACATCGCGGGAGGTACTGCTATCTGCAATGAGTTAGAGGACTGATAGAACCGGGGATGCGAGGTCCAAATAGCAATTTTGAAGACGGAAAAGTAAGTTGTGGATGAAGAATCCTACCACACTGATCCTTACATTCTAATTCTTTTTCATCGTCAGAGACAATAGCAGTTGAGACTTTCTGATTTTTATACAGTAGGGCAACTGCTACCCATAATTTTTGCAACTCATGCGCGTCCGCGGCACTTCGCTGGTGGTCTCTCTGATGTCTCTGAAACGGGAGTTAATCCGAGGCTTTTCAAAGGACTCGAAAGAAGGGGGCATGGAATTATTGAGGTCGAGTCCACGGCGAATGAGACAGGTGTGAAGCCGGTGCATAGTTAATCTGCTCACCAATTCTTTACTCTTCCATGGGTGTTTACGATGGGCTCGGGTTCCATTTATAGGTGTGATAACTGCAGGATCCAGGTAAGGGTCTTGTAAACGCAGGATCACGCTGTCTAGCCTAAAATCACCCTTGCAAATATGAGTTGAAGGGATAGCTATGCAGGTTTGTCCGAACTCTGTGCATAGAAGGAGAAGATGCAATCCCATGAACAAGAAATTTATTGACCTGCATTTTCGGATTCCCATTTGAAACCATGATCAGAGAGAATCGCAGAGAAGGGTGACTAAGGCGCAAAGTACAAAGTATCTATAGTCCTTTTTGGCTACGCAACCGCATGCGTACTACAATAAGCAGCTCTCGCGAACATCGCTGGGGTGTCGTAACTGATGCGATGATGGCTTGGCAGTCCACCTTCGAGTGATTAATTGCCATGATTTCATCATCCATGTGTTATGATCCGAGGCTGGTACTTATAAGTAACCCAGACTCGCAACTTGCCCGACTGTTGTTCTCAAAGCCAGCACCAGAGAGACAGAGAAGGCAATATATTACGAGGAGAGCTGCATTTCCGAATAGCAAGTAGTTCTCACAAAAAGGCTGTGCATAGTTATTGATCTGCTTGATGCGTAAGCGTTGGGGACATGGAGCAAGTTAATCCAACGAGGGCTCGATAGCCACGTTCTAAGTTTGCGTTCTCATGGCAGGCAGT